CTCCTCCTGCTGCTGCAGCAAAACCTCCTCCTGCTGCTGCAGCAAAGCCTCCTCCTGCTGCTGCAGCAAAGCCTCCTCCTGCTGCTGCAGCAAAGCCTCCCGCTGCTGCAGCAAAGCCTCCTGCTGCTGCAGCAGCAGCAAAACCTCCTCCTGCTGCAGCAGCAGCAAAACCTCCTCCTGCTGCAGCAGAAGCGAAACCGCCTCCTGCTGCAGCGAAACCTCCTGCAGCAGCAGCAGCAGCAAAGCCTCCTCCTGCAGCAGCAGCAACAGCAAAGCCTCCTGCAGCAGCAGCAGCAGCAAAACCTCCTGCTGCTGCTGCGCCTCCGAGTTCAGCTGCCCCTCCTGCAGCAGCAAAGCCTCCTGCTGCTGCAGCAGCAAAGCCTCCTGCTGCTGCAGCAGCAAAGCCACCTGCTGCAGCAGCAGCGAAGCCTCCTGCTGCTGCTGCTGCTGCAGCGAAGCCTCCTGCTGCTGCAGCAGCAAAACCACCTGCTGCAGCAGCAGCGAAGCCTCCTGCTGCTGCTGCATCTCCACCCCCCAACGCTGCAGCAGCAGCAGCAAAACCTGCTGCTGCAGCTCCTCCTGCTGCAGCAAAGCCTCCAGCAGCAGCAAAGCCTCCAGCTGCAGCAGCAGCAAAACCCCCTGCTGCAGCAGGCGCTAAACCTCCTCCTCCTGCTGCTGCTGCAGCACCAGCTGCAGCAGCAGCTGCGGCCTCAGAAGGCGATGCTGCAGGTGAATAAGAAAGGGTTTAGGGTTTAGGGTTTAGGGTTTAGTGTTTTATATTTGTGTTTATTTTTTTTATTTGTTTATTGATATCCCCTGTCTGTGTATTCCTTCATTTCTCTCTTCGAGTCTACTTATCTTACTTCTGAGGGTTTAGGGTTTAGGGTTTAGGGTTTGTGTCTCAGGGCGTCGCATGTTAGTGTTTAGGGTTTAGGGTTTAGGGTTTAGGGTTCAGGGTTTAGGGTTTGTGTTTCAGGGCGTCGCATGTTAGTATTTAGGGTTTAGGGTTTAGGGTTTAGGGTTTGATTTTCAGGGCGTCGCCTGTTAGTGTTTAGTGTTTATTGTTTATTGTTTAGGGTTTAGGGTTTAGGGTTTAGGGTTTAGGGTTTGTGTTTCAGGGAGTCGCGTGTAAGTGTTTCGAGTTGAGGGTTTAGGGTTTATTGTTTATTGTTTAGGATTTAGGGTTTAGGGTTTAGGGTTTGTGTTTCAGGGCGTCGCATATTAGTATTTAGGGTTTAGGGTTTAGGGTTTAGGGTTTGTCTTTGAGGGCGCTTAGGGTTTAGGGTTTAGGGTTTAGGGTTTAGGGTTTAGGGTTTGTGTTTCAGGGGGCCGGGTGTTAGTGTTTCGCGACGAGCAGCCGCAGAAGATGTTTGAGGCTTTTGCTGAGGGCTCCTCGAGCCGCGCTGCTGCGCTGCTGGCTGCTCAATCCCGTAAACCCTAAACCCTAAACCCTAAACCCTAAACCCTAAACCCTAGGTTTGAAACCCTAAACCCTAGATTCTAAACCCTAGGAATGTTACATACATTGATGCGCGCACACGTCGCTTCTCTACTGAACAGAACCTCCCCTTTTTGCTTCTTCATACACAAGGGTCTAGGGTTTAGGGTTTAGGGTTTAGGGTTTAGGGTTTAGGGTTTAGGGTTTAGGGTTTAGGGTTTACAGAGGGAGCCTGCGGAGACGAACCCACTATATCTATCCGCGCCACGGAGCCCCCCCCCCTCCCCATCCAGCAAGGAGGAGACAGAAACCCTGCTCTGCTCACTGCGCAGATCCG